CTGTTTTGAGCCACCATTCTCCCTGAATATGGACTGGAGATCTCGGAATGTGTTGGAAATTTGCCGACAAAGTGTTTCGACGAGGGGAATCAAAACTTGGAAAATCGTGTCGGAGTAGAAAGGGAGGCATTCCGTTAGGAAACTGACCCAACTGTCGAGGACGCTGCGGCTGCTAGGAGAACTCAGTCCAGCCTGAAGGCACTTGAGTAGATTAGGTGGTGGTGCTGTTGGCTTTGTCTCTGATTGTGTTGATACTCTGATGCTCTTGGAGGGTTCAAGACTCAGCTTCCTCTTTTCAGAGGTTGGAGAACCTGGCACATCAGCAATCATCACGTCCCGAAGCTTGAGCGAATCAAATACGACATCCAGAAGAAGAACCTGGACGTACGGGTCTGTTCCGCTCAGTGATTGGAGAAGGCGTTCAATGAGGACGTTCTCCAAGTGAAGGCTGGCAAGAGGCTCGGCGTAAGGGTTGAGGAGGATTTGGTGCATAACAGTCAGAGCGTAGCGGTGGAGCTGAGTAGATCGTATCTTGAGTTGCTCTTCCGGCTCGTTGTTTCCAGCGATGCATCGCAGGCAAACATGAATGAAGACCTCTTGCATGGAAATTTCGCCCTCATGCCCAGCTGCTCCCGATTAGTACACATCTTCGTGTAGGGCCAATTTACATACTCATCTGTGAGATTTCTGGGTGCTCTGCATCGACTGTGAGCGAGGTCGACGCCAATACAGCCCAAATCACGTCCGGGGCCCAGCGTAGAACGTTTGACAATGTTCTCAGGTAGTAAAGACAAACATCCAGGTCGTCATCAGCAGTAAAGGTTGTGGAAACTGCCGACGCCGCAGGCGAGCCGATGGCATGGCTGGCCCTGAGGAAAGGAAGGGATGCGAATTTTCGAACGAATATTAAGAACAACCTGCTTCCGTATTAGAATCCTGACTCTTACACCTATAGGTATTACTCACTTGTCAGTGCCAACTAAACTGTTCAGCCATCCTTTGACAGTCATGAACAGTTGAGTTCTCTCGTCTAGGAGGGCATCCAGCATCAAAAACAAAGGCCGAGTCAACATAACGTCGTAGTATTCCGATCCAGCCAAGCGAATCTGCGGCGGCTTTTCAATCATTGGTGTTTTTGACCCGCGTCTGTCGGCGTGAGAATCTTGTAGTGAGTGGGACCATAGCACACTAAAGCGACGGCCCGCGTCAGCAGGACGGGACGCAAACGAGCCCTGGACATCATTCTCAATTATGAGACTTGCCAGGGCTGCTTCGATGTCTCGGTTCTGGACAGTTAAAGCAGTCTGAAGCTGCCATAGAGATCTGACTGTTTCGACGTGGTACTTGGGTTCTGAGGCTGACAGAAACTCCCAAGCATGTTGGACCAGCGGAGTGACAAGTTCGGAAAGGTCAGGCAGCTCGATACGCTCGGCGGAGTAAAGATGAGCAGACAAGTAAAGGATGGAGTTGAAAGAGACAAATGACAGTCTGTCCGAGTGTTTGAGACGGTCGTGGAGACATTTCATGAGGAAGCTCGCGTCTAGATGGTACGCCGATGGAACCTTCAATAGAAGAGCTGTGAGAATCCTTCCCTTCGCACCCAAGTCTGAATCCGATTCGGAGCTCTTCAAGCCATCGCAGACGAGCTGACCTGACTTGCGCAGAAGGAGCTCGCCGACTTCGATCGGCGTGAACGGAATATTGGCATCGAGGTTGCCCTGCTCATCAACATAGAACGACTTGGTCCTCTTCAAGACTTCGACTGCCGACAGTGACGCCAGGGCACCGGCTTGTACAGTCCTCTTGGACTTATCGCCATCTTCTGGGAAGGCTCGGTCAGGAACGAGATCCAACAGAGCGAGCGAGATGCTAAGCGCCTCTTCGGCGATTTTGCCAGAGCCTTTCGTTGGCGAAACGGGGGACGATTTCTGTCTCTCTCTCGTGTCCTCCAGCATCGAGAAGATGGACAAAGCAGTGAGCGGCGCGTGTATGGTGATCATCTCTTCCTCACGTACATTGAAATTAGCCAAAATGAAGTTCACCAAGTCGAGCTTATGCAGGCGCTCCTTGTCGGACACGTTTCCTGGGCCGATTGCCTGAGCAAGCAGACTAACGATTTCGCCGTAGATGAGCCCACTTTCGACGCCATCAAAGAACACGCTCGCACTACGGAAAACTTCGTTGAAGTCGGCTTTGCTTGGTGACTGGCCCCGATATTGTCGGACACTGTTGATGATGGGGAGGAAAAGTTCGGGAACGACGAGTCCACCAATCTCCCAGCGATCCATCAACGATAGGCATATCCTGTAAGGCCGTGCCCTCTCTGCAGGGCTTGATTCTCGATCGACATGAATCATGCTCAGCAGTGCTCGTGTCAACGGTCGAAGACCATGGTCCTCGAAGTAGCTGGTCTTGGACGCAAAATAGGCGTTGTGGGGTTCAGTCGATGAGGGTGACTCCATGCCGCTCTCACTCTCCGTTGGCGCTGGTTCAGGACCCAGAAACCATGCCCACAACCTTCGGTTTAGACTCATATCCCTTCGTGTAACGACACCGGCGGCCGCACGCAGCAGAAGCTCCAAGTCGCCCGGCTTGACGCTGTTCTGGAGCACCTTCGAGTGCAATGGGAGATGCGTGACGAGCAGGTCCAGAAACCCGCGCTGGATCAGCAACTGCTCATCGGCAAGACCAGCTGCGAAAGAGCGCAAAAGTAGTCCCGGTTCAGGGGAGGTGACCATTTGTGCCAGTTGGGTAGAGTGCTCCTCCTCCGAGATGCCATTCTTGACAGGCTTCCCCTGAGCCAGCGAGTCGCCCAGTTTGGGCAGATTCCTCACGAGGTATGCCAAAGCTCCCGCTCTGCGACTAGAACCTGTGATGGAGGCCAGAAAGAAGCATTGCCAGAAGAAGTCATCACCAGTCGAGTGTAGACCCTCCAGCTCCTCGCTCCCTGCCGGGCGTATCGACTTCTTGAAGCTCTCCATCAAGCGTAATGTCCGATCAAAGTCTTCGCTGGTCTCATCTTCGAGACCTGGCAGGAGAGCTAGAACGACGGACTTCATGGCTGGGCGCAGGGATCGAGGATCGAGACTGAGGAAGTGGGTTTCCAGAAGGTCAAGGAAGGGAGTCCTGACGGACAGGGAGGCGAAGGAGAGCGTCGACGCCAGACCGGGAAGGTAGAGCGGCAGATCTTTGGACAGTCCATCTTGTCCTATCGTCGCGAAGATGTAGTTGTAGACTTCGAGGGCCTTTTGGTGGACGCCTGACGGCAGGGAGGGGTTGAGGCATTGGGAGAGTCGCTTCGCAACGGTCGATTTCGCAGGGATGGTGGTGGTCGAAGGATGTCGAGCTTGCAATGCCTTGTACTTGGTCAGTCTCTCCAGTATTTCAAACGCGCAAGCATCGAGCCTACCTTTAGCAAGCGGTTGAGGAAGGAAATATAGTCTGCCCACTCCTGTAGGGCTGTCTCGAAGAGGGTCAAGGCCCTCTCAACGCCGGATGCGTACTTGCGGTAGTGCTTATCCTTTGACGGAGTCTCCTCTGACGGCACAGTTAGCTTCAGTCTCGCAAGACCTTGCATCAGTCCCGTTTGTTTCGAAGCTCCTCACCGGCACCGAGTTGGTTTCTCCATTGGCGCGGCAGGGGGGAGTCCCGCCCTGAGCTCTCCGGGGACACGGAGCGCCGGCCAGAGCCTGGCTCAAGAGCCATAATTGCGGTCTTTGATGGATCGTTCGGCAGGGTTGAACATCAGGGTGCTCTTGTTCATTTGAGACGGCGGTCTCGAGGGCTCATCGCAGCTGGGCCCTTTCACGTCGTCTTGTCGGTTCGCCCTGTCATGACTTGGGATCGCAATGGCCGCGACTGCTGAGCTCGAAAGGCTACCATGTCTCCTTCGCAGGCCAGGTGTACAGTGGGGTACCCCCTGTAAGCTTCCCAAGCTTCCCATTGGACGAACTAAATTAGTTACCGTTCCCGCCTGGCGAGGCTGCCCTGCGACCCTCCTCCCAAGCACCAGGTCACTGCCGACCGCCGAGATAGGACAAACCACAACGTCATCAGGCCTCCATTCGCCTCCCATACCACTATAGTACCTACAGTAAGAGCGAGCATCCACCCGCTGTGCCATCGCGTTACCTGCCACAGATACCTTGCGTTCTGTCCCTTTAGTTTGAGTTGGTTCTGTCGTCTGTTCATTCCCCCAAATAACGCATGAGAAGCGTTTAAAAAAACCAAAACCTTCAGGTGTGTCGCTGCTCATTGGCTATTTCAGCTCACCTCCTTTCTTATAAGATAATTGGCATCCCTTTCGTCTTGTCCAATCCAGTCGCATCAAGGAAACCCGAGGTCTTGGACGCGCGCGCGCATGCACATGAAGTGACAGACGGTCGCCACCAGCTAAGGCACCTATGAAAGCAGACATGGTATTCTTGGGGCCTGATCGATTTCGCAATACCGATATGTTTTAGCGCACGTCTCCCCGAGTGACTGTCTCGTGAGGTGAACCCACAGCTGCATCTGTCCTGGCCAGGATGCGCCGGGACAGCTTCAATGTTTTACCTACATAATTATCTGGGCGATAAGATGGCTCCATGGCATTTGCTGAATTCCCATCCTGCTAAAGTTGGGCCCCCACGACCGAGCACACCGGCTAGGTGCCTTAAACTCGGGTGAGGGGTGGGACCGAGTCGTTCGTCTTTAGCGGAACGTTCCCACTAATCGGGGCTGCCGCACCGCTAAAGGTCGGCGCCCCTCCAACCAACGCATCATCAGCTGCCACTCTTTCAGACCGCACCTCTTTGCCTTCTCTTCGGGCTTTTCTGCCCTCCGCCAAACGACTTAACGGACATACGAACCTAACGACCGTTATGGCACTATGATTGAATTTTCTTGACCTGTGATTTTACGACCGACCTACACCCCAGCTGCGCGGCGACGCGCTAACAGTTCTTCACAGCATCGAGCGGAAATGCTCTCTATCTAAAGCACCATCATGGGCGACGACAATGGCAACGACAACAGTCCTGGCGAGGAACAGCCCCCCCCCTCTGCCCCCGCGCCCTTCCCGCCCCTCCCTCGACTCGACTCACTCGATAGACGCGAGAATGGCAATGGCAGCGGCCACAACTGCCGTCACACCCCTCGACATTCAGACTCTGTCCTTTCCAGATGGCTCGCGCGGGACTTTCTCGACACCAGGCCCGAGGACGTCCGTCGCCTCCTCCAAAAACGGGAGCGGCTCGGCGACACCCACCACAGGCATGGCCGAAATGGAAGATTCGATGAGCATCATGAGCTTCGCTCCGACAATGCGCCCAGCCGGCGACATTGCGAGTCTGCTCGTTGGAGAGTTTAGCAGGAAGAGCCGCGCGTGGAACCTGCTCAGGTCACAGTCGGCCACGGTTCAGCCATTTGAGAGTCTTAGGATGGACGACACCACGCGCAACCTGGCGGGATTTGAGAACGAGTTTGACGAATTGCCCGCATCGGCGAACACGGACTTCAAGGACGAGGACCGCGTGGCAATTTGGAAGTCCAAGTTGAAGCATTACATGATCCTCTCCTCGGCAGGGAAACCTATCTACAGTCGGCACGGCGATCTGGGGCTCATCAACTCGTCCATGGGCGTCATCCAGACTATCATATCCTTCTACGAGGGTTCCAAGAACCCTTTGCAGGCCTTCACGGCTGGCCAGACGCGCTTCGCCATATCCATCCAAGGCCCCCTATACTTCGTCGCCATCAGCCGTCTCGGTGAGAGCGACTCTCAGCTCAGGGCCCAGCTCGAAGCTCTATACATGCAGATCCTCTCGACACTCACCCTCCCCGTTCTCAAGAACATCTTTGTCCACCGCCCGTCAACGGACCTGCGCAAACCACTCGAGGGCACCGAGCCTCTCATCTCGTCGCTCGCCGACAACTTCACCAAAGGCTCACCTTCCGCCCTCCTCGGGGCTCTAGAATGCCTCAAGCTCCGTAAATCCCAACGCCACGCCATTAACAACGCATTCCTCAAACAGCGCACAGAAAAGCTACTGTACGGCCTCATTGTTGCCGGCGGTAAGCTTGTCAGCGTCATCCGCCCCCGCCGGCACTCTCTCCACCCCTCCGACCTCCAGCTCATCTTCAACATGCTCTTTGAATCAGGCGGTATTAAAGCCGGCGGCGGTGAGAATTGGGTTCCTCTTTGCCTTCCCGCCTTCAACAACCGCGGCTACCTATACATGTATGTCTCCTTCTTTGACGGCGTTGAGGGCGACCACACAACAACCACCTCGGAATCCGGCGCGAACAAGGAGGAAGAGCTCGCTATCATTCTCATCAGCCCCGACAAGGAATCCTTTTTCGAGTTAAAACAGATGCGCGACAACGTCGCCGCCTCCCTGGCACAGTCAGGGCACCTCGCGACCATCCAGGCGGCGGCACGCGTCGGACGGCCCAAGACGGTCGACATCGCGCCCGGCGGCCAAATCTCCCATTTTCTGTACAAATCCCGCGCAAACGTGCAGTTCTCCATGTCCGCCCTCGACCCCGTCTTCTCCTCTCTCATAGCCCGCCGCCGCCTCATGAAACTATACCACCAACTCCATGCCGCCGTCCACGCAAAACACTCACATATGCGCGTCCTCCACTCCGTCTCCGAGGATGCCACCTCCCTAGCATGGATCACGCCCATTTTCGAATTCTACTGCGTCGCCGGCCCCAACGTAAGCCGGGCCGTCGTCACCCAGGGCGCGAACAAGGTCATTCAATGGGCCCGTCGCGAGGAGGAACGGATCTTCATTATAGGCGGCGGTGTATTTTAAAACCTGCTCAAATAAAAGAAAGCAAAAGATATCCACCATTTCATCCCTGAAAACCCCAGCCACAGACATTATTTGCGTACGCTATATCAAATACTATACCCGCGGTGTGATATCCCATGCTCAAACTCCAGCCAGAATCCAAGCTCACTACAGAACGAACCTATCCCTAAGCATAAATGAAAACCTTGCAGAAGAGGGAAAACAAAAGAAGAAAAAAACCCTGCCCGTAAACTATCCCCAAGCATGAATGAAAACATTGAAGAAGGGGGGAAAAAAAGGAAGGTAACCCGTAACAGATGACATATCCAGCCGTCTCACTTCTTCAACCACCCAGCCCTCCACCACGCCTCGGGAAACTTCACCTTGTTCTTCACCACCTCCCACGACTTCTTCTGCCTCGAACAGCAGCCCAAAGCACTGCCCTTGCCCTTGTTTTTCTTGAACAGCAACGCCCTGCCCACGCGCTCGAACACACTCTTCAACATACACCGCTTCGTATGGCTCGGCGGTGGTGGTGGTGGTGACGACGCTGGCCTATCCTCCGCCTCCTCTGCGCCTTTCGTCCGCGTCTCATCCTGGCCCTTCTTCCCCTGCTGCCCCTCACCATAATCCCACTTCTTCTTGCCCTTGTCCTGCACCTCCAGGGCCGAGGCGCGCTCATTAAACGACCCAGCCAGCGTCGTCGCCCCGCTCAGCTCGCCGCCCTCGTCGCTCCCCTCGAGCGTCCCCTGGCTCGACCGCAACCGCGAGGTTCTCCGTCTGCCTCTCGGCGATCCCTGCTGCTGCTGTGGTGGCGGTGATGGTGTCAAGGCTGCTGCTCGTGCCGACGACGGGCCCCCCTCCTCGTCAGAAAACACAAGCGGCGGCAGCCCAGCCCTCGCGCGCTCCTTCTGCACGCGCTCAGCCGCCATGCGACTACTCTCGCCCTTCTCATACCAGGGGAAAGAGTTACGCTGTGAGTCCTCGGAGGCCATGTCCTCGTCGTCCTTTCGAGGTCCATCCCCAGCGGCCTTGTCTCCTCCTCCAGAGCGGGGAGACACTCTCCCAGAGATCGGCCTGGTAGACTTATCCCCCGTGAGCGCAGAGCGTCGTCGGGGTAGCGATGATAATGATGATGGAGATATACCGGGGGCGGTGGTCTCCTCCCCCTCTTCCGAGGCACTTCGTCTGGTCTGGTGAGTGCTTCCCGTAAAGGGGTTCTTGAAGGTTATTGGAGCCATTATCTCTTTTCCCCGAGTCAAGAAATGAAACGAATGGAAATCTTTCATGTGTTGCTAGTAGCGTGTTGATGAAGTGTGTTTGTTGATTTGTAAGTGAAGTTTTCAGGGGAACGAACGTGATGTGATACCTTCCACCGTTTTGTTCATACCTAATTTACCCCAACCCTTTTCTTGTCCGTCTTTCGAAAAGCGACGCCAGAACTCTCTCTCTCTCTCTCTCTGTGTGTGTGTGTGATGTTCCCTTGATGGCCAGGAGGTATCCACAGCAACCAAAGGTGTAAGTGAAGGTAGGTAGAGGTAGGTACGTCACAGAAAAGACAAAAGAAACCCGATGATGTCAATGGTCCCTATAGACCCCGTATCTAAGCGAGTGTGGAAAACGAAAGGACGCGACTTTACCAATCGCAAGATGATGAGAGTGGTGCTGAACAAAACGAATGTAGCCGCGTGATGACGATTGTGACGACGGTTGAAACGCGAGAGAGGACCCGGAAAGAAGGGGACTCAATGGGAACCTTGGCCTTTAAGGGCACATGCCCATCCGCAACATTCCCTCCTTGTTCTGGAGGACGTTTCCCTAAGCGAGAGACCCTGTGGGAACCTGTGGGAAGTAAATCTCGAGGCTGCACAAGCCAAGGCGTCATCTGCCCTTATTGGGAGAGCCCACAGGTATACCTCATGTCCCGACAAGTATCTTCCTCATGGATAGTCCTATCTGAAGGCGTATGTCTTGTTGTATTCACTACATAATCTACCAGGCGTCTCGTCCCTGCACTTTCACCAGACCCAAACTCACATCTCTTGCGCCTAACGCCCTCGATCCGGAGCTACAGCCATGGCCAAACTCGATCGCCAACAATCAGGCCTCACAAATTACACCCCCTTCCTCTCAATGCATCATCAAGTCTCTTTTCAAGAAGACCAAGTTCTTGAAAGCCAATCAAAAGAACGCACCCAACAGTGGTAAAGATGACGGCACAAAATTCTGCTGGTTCGCTTCTCGTCTGCCACTGCATAAGTGATGTTGGTTCTCACCGCCTCCTGATGACGATGTGGACAGCTCGTCTGAACCACCCTTTCATCCTTTTGCCCACTTTCTTGGACTGGCCAGATGCTGAGACACCCCGTTGAACTTGCAATCGAATGGTGGCGTCAGAATCCGTAGAACCAATGTTCCTTCCCCTCAGGTTGAGACGTGATCTGGCCATGCGAATCTTCAGGTGCGAAAGCTTCTTGCGGATAATTTTTGGGCGAATGAAACTCAAGTCGGAGCTGAAGCTGCGTGAGTCGCTCAAATCGTAACCCTCGATAGAGCTGCTTGGCCTCAGATTCTCGTCAACCGGGTGAGCCAGAGGTATGTAACGCTCATGTAAGTATCCATCACTAGAATTAGTACCTGCAGGAGAGTAAGGTGGACGGTTTGCTCTCCTAGCGCCTCGCCCGTTGGGCGTCACGAGGCGAAACTGTCTTCCCTTACGCTGGTATACTCGGCCATCCCGAGGTTTTCTGTCTTGCACCTGGGCCTGCATGCCTTCCGACGGGTCTTCCACCAAGTCGCTGAGAGGTCTGTCTTTGGAGAAGCTCAGGTAACGTCTGACAGTTCCGCTTGGATTCTCTTCCACTTCCATGCCCAGCGGATCACGCGATGTCCTTAGTCGAATACTTTGGGTCGGTCCTCGCGGTTCGGCTGCGCACCCGACATCCACTGAATTTTGCTCATAAGGTGTACAAGAAATAGGCACATCTTCGATGATGTTCACCTCGCTCGAGACTGATTTGTCACTCGAGACTGATTTCCGATCTGTAGATCGGTCCAAAGAACCTGTCTCGATCTCGATGCTCGCCTTGAAAGACTCATGATCCTCGACGGTTGACTTGAGAGTAATCCTAGGACTTGATCGAGGAGTCGCGAGGATTTCAAGCTTGAAAGGGGAGAACTCAACCGGGAAGCCCAGGTCGTCTGTAGACCTGATAGACGCATGTGGTGACATGTAGGGCGACTCGTTGGGGATAGCAGGCAACGCCTTCATGAGCTGTGGGATGCTGTTTCTGACTCTGAGCTCGCGAGCTGGAGAAATGGGCTCGGGGCAGATGATGGTTGCATTCGCACTTTTGATTGATGTGGGAGTTTCGGATCGAAGGCTGTTTGTGCTAATGCACGCAACCGCTTGGTTTCTCCGATGACCTCTGAAGAAGGGCTTTAAAGCCATAGCCTTGCTATTGGCGTCAATTTGGTCAGTATTCTGACGAGTTGCACTAGTGAGTTCTTCCGTATTCGCCTTGGATTCATCAGAATACTTTGAATCGCCGTAGTTGGCATCGCCAGTCATTCCAGAGCACCCCTTTTCTTTCCTCAGGAAGGGGGACTTGGCGATGCGCTCAAAAGATGAAACTAGTGCCGCCAAGTCAGAAAGCCCAGGGTCAATAGAGTTTCGAACACTCGATCGGAGCAACGCCGCGAGCCCACCTTGCGACGAGGATTGTCGCGATGTCGACATGACAGCTGCTGGAGCACTTGGAGACTTACGTAGCTTGCCTTGACCTGAAGATCTTTTGGCGACCTCGTCCTGGGGTGGAATACTGTCGAAGCGACCTCTTGTTGTTAGAACATCTGCACGTGTCTGGTCCCGTTCATTCCCAGTGACAATGCTGTGTTCATGGGCATCATCCTTGAGTCCACGCCTTGCTGAATTGCGCGCATGCTCGCTTTGGCTAACATCCGAATCATCTGCGAAAAGGGACATGATGTTGAAATACCCATTTCCACCGTCAGCGTCGTTCGGATGGGGAACTGAAGTACCATCCTTTTCGAAAGAAAAAGGGGCCAGGGAGGGAGAAATGTCCCTCGAGTCAGCATGGCCTTGGGCTGCACCTCGACCGTCGTCTCCAGACGAATCGCTTGAATCCTTCACGGATATGTCCACCACCGCGTCAAGACGGGCCTTGGTCTCGTCGCGGAGTACCAAAGCTTTGACAAGACTTGAAGCACGCTTTGGTATGGGTGCCAACGGAGTGTTGGCCTCGTTAGTAGGAGCAGCATCAGTCGTTTCTGGAGTCTCAAACCCTTCAGTGTAGTCATAGTAAAATGAGCCTGCCGGACGGAGTGTGCGAATGGGAGCCGACGCTGAGTTTGGCGTCTGCTTGCAGTACATATCGATAACTGACGTCAGGCTCGATGATCGCAAGCTTCGGTCTGTGGAGTTTTGCCGCCGGATGGTACCTGATCGTTCACCACTCCATTGGCTGCTCAAGAGTGCCCTATGACTTTGACTGCGGCCATCTTGGCTGAGCGGTGCCATTTTAGAGTTGCCATACGGCAAAGACGGCATCGACTGATTTGTATCGGAGCGCAACGAAAGAGGAGGTGCAAGACGCGTTCTAGGGTAAGTTGGCATGTACGATCCGTGGACAGTCCTCTGAAGTTGGTCAACACGACTGGTGACACCAGTGCTGTCGTTCAAACTTACAAACGAAATTCGATCAAGTTCGACCATCCTACTGTAGTCAACGCGCCCGTTCTCGGTTACAGCAGGCGAAGACGGCCTCACGCCAGGGCGCTTCAATCTCGTGGGGTAGGGAAAAGGAGAACGTGGACGTTGCAGGTTGCCGCTTCCCAGTGGACTTTGAAAAGTCCGTGACGATACTTTTCGTGACAACTGTCGAGGAGCCGTTGCAGTAAGAGAGTATGAGCGCCGAAATTGGTTAAGTCTGGGAGACCGCAGGCTGAGACCAGATGATGGATTGCTCTCGGAGCCATACATTGAGATGATCTCTGAGTTGGCATCTCGATCGGAACCGTACCTCCTACGGCTGACCTTACTCTCGGTTCTAATGCTGCTGCGCGACTCTGACCTGAAGATGGAGCTGGCGTCAATGCTTGGTCTAGACCTGGCGCAGTGATGGATGGTGGCTGCGGGAGCAATTGGTTTGATGGTGAATATGCCGATGTCTCCCGTCTCGGTGGTGGTCTTGAGCATGCTTTCGAGAGGACCTGGGGATGGCAGTAGGCCTGCGCTCTCGGTGACACTTCTCAGAGGTCGATGAGGCAGCGAGTGGCCGGCGGGAGGCCTAGAACGAGACCGGTAACTGCTGCGCAGCGAGCCATGGCTGGCGGAGCGTTGGACGTAGTTCCCTTCCATCGGGGTTGGAATTGGTATTAGATCGAACAGAAACAGATGGCAGTATGGGTATGATTGATGAGCAACAGAGGGGGATGAAGCAGAGCGGGGACACCGCAACGGTCGATATGAAGCTATTTCGAACGTCGTCGGATTGTCACGACATCCCCAAGTGTGGCGGATGTTGCTGGGAAAAGCAGTTTGATCTTTGCCAATGTCTACGGAGATTAATGCCCGGCACTCATCAGCTGAAGCCGTCGGTGGAAAGGATGGTCTACTATCAGCAGCTTCCTACTACTTGCTACATTTGAACGTGCTTTCCCGCAACGTCTGACCAGAAGGAGGCACATTTGCTCATGTTTGGAAAGCACCCAGCTTCATGCCTTCCGTCATTCTTGCGAATCTGCTCTCCTAGGCAAGTCCTGTCTGCCACGTGCCCAGCTCTTTCCATCTCACCAAAAAAGCTCTCTTCAAGAGTGGCAGTCACCCTGTTGACATCCGCAAACTAGAAGGCAGGCGTTGCTCTTAGTGCAGCTGCCGGAGAGCGCAGTGGCTATCCAGAAGCTCATAAATCAAGGTGTTTACCCGATTATACATTTTTCAACGATATTCGCTGCACTGAAGGAGCACCAGACATGGCAGCATCAGGAGAGACGTTCATGAGGTAGAGTATCGCAAGATCTCAGACGATGGTGTTGTGGCCTCATCTCAGATGGGACGGCGTACAGCGGTACAGCTGGGCAGCAAAAGAGAGGCGGGCTGCCTGATTGGATGGATACCGTAGGCAATTGCCTACTATGGCCAAAACTAAGTTGCTGTCAGCATGGCTGCATGGGATGCGGATCTGCCCGCCAAGATAGTTGCAGCTTAGAGACAACTGTCCTTTCGCAACTCAGTCTGACAAACGACTCAGTGACACTATTTGGAACCACAAGGGCAATTTCGGGAGATTGAATGTGATACCAGCAACGTCTAGCTCTGACAGGCATGCTCTGTGCAGATGATATACATAGCACAGGATCCGAGACGGAAGTTGAAAGCTTCCAGACCCCACATGTAATCGGATTCTTCGGGTCGGAGGGAACAAAGTTTAGAGGGTTTGGGGCGATACGGAGCACCTCAGCCGCTGCGCCGTTCTGGTTACCGCGTAAGGCCACAAACGGGGTGAGGACACAGTTCCACTTTGCAGGCAGCTAGCAACCAGCACCCAGCGTTGGTTCCTGAATATGATCTTTTGGCTGCTATTGATGGGGCCGAGATGACAAAAAAGCCAGCCCTTTGTTTGGCGCAAGACCACGTTGAGCGCCGTATTGGGCGTATGTGTGATCAGTGATCGCGGAGGGGAGGGTGCCTTGCATCGGTCCGCAGCTAATCTTGGAATAATATTCCGTACAGCACCACTCGACCACACACCTGCCCAAGGAACGGGCGGTTCGCGCAGCTCCGGCGATGGCAAAAGTCCACAAGTGAGATTGCAGAATGCAGAACATTACATGCGGAACGCGAACGAGGCAAGGCCGGTCGGTGACTTTCCCTCTGTCGCGGGACCCTTGCCCCATCATGAGGTGAGTGAGGCTGGGAGGTTTTACCACGGTATCCAGCACAGGGTCGCGCAGCCCGTTGGGTGGCTGGAGCTTTGCAAAGTGCATGCAGCAGGCAGTTTGACAGTAGCCTGGAGCTGGACGTCGACGAGGGCCACCTCCACCTCTTGTGCCAGGGTCCCATCGGACAGTGAGCGAAGCGCCAAAAAAGATGCTACCGACAGAGACCAGATCTGGTTAGTGATCAGCCTCCACGGTAGCATTGCCGCTGGATCGCGAGCCGGCAGGGCAGCTTGGCGGGTGGTGGGGACAGGATCCTAAGGCGAGAGAATGGGTCCATGGGTGCACCTTGTGGTGGCAGGATGGAACCGTGAAGGAAGCATGGAGCGGCGACCGCAGACCTTTGCAGCCGGTGAGAACATGGAACTGTGTCCTCACCTCAGGAAGCGAAAACCTTACCCCCAAGAGCCTCTGGGCAGGTCAGCCATTGTTGGCCACATCTGGGTATGGATGGCCAATTTGGTTATCACCAGGCGCGGAACGCGAAAAGGCGCAGACAGAGGAGGAACTATGAGACCACATATTGATATCAATTTGGCCGCCACTGTTGTTGACAAAGCATGCGCGCGTTGGGCCACAGATGGCCTGGGCTGGGGGCAGAAAGACATGGAAAAGATGGGACGGGCTGAGGGGAAGCTGTGCCATCCAACGATGATTGTCTCAGAGGACCGCCCAGACGCAAGTCGGAATGTGCAGAATAGGGGTGCAACTACCAACAGTCAATGGCATGGCAATCGCAATGGCCGCCCGCATAGCACAGGTTCGAGCGTTTGCCTCTGGGTCAAGCAAGCAATCATTTTGACTCGACTAGAATATGATTGGCAATCAATTTGAACTTGGACTTCTCCCCACCGACACCTCGTAAGGCAGACGGACCGGAGAAAGACAAGGCGAGCAAGGGACAGGCACGGAAGACTGAAAATAATATGCCGAGCTTACCTGGTTCAGCAACGGCCGTGGTCTTCACAGCCCAGGCCAGGCACTCGCCTCCAACGCAGCTGGGCAGGTGTCCAACTGTAGCCTGTTTGAAGCATTGGGTTGGATCTTTCCTTCCTCATCTTGCCGTGTACGTTACTCCCGGGCGAGAGTGGTCGGTTGATTATCAATTCACCGTAAGTTGCTTCCAGGCGGCCGAACGGTGGGGGAGTACCTGCCTTACCTGAACGGCGTGCAGAAAGAGGAAGGGAGTGGAGGGGTGAGTGGCCGATTTGCCCCTCACGACGGAGGGAGAAGCACCACGAGAGCACGGGCTGCCTGTGGATTGGGGTAAGTAGCTGCCCGCCCCCAATTTGTATCTCAACGCAAAAATGACTCGTGTCGGTACTTCCGGATACATGCGCCCACCGCTAGAGGGGTGTCAAGTCAAGGTGTCCCCCAATCCGCTAACCCACACAGACAACCGCCGCCGCCTTAGTGAACGCATGAGCTGACGGCGGTTCCTGGAAAAAGGGACACCTGTTCTCAATTGCCCTTTGGAAATCCATGGTCCGAAATCTTGACCAGAAAACGTCCAGCTGGCTCTTCCCTCCACTTCCTACTTAAGACAGGACCTCTTCCCATTCACACCTTTCTGGAGCCCGACTTGTCCGCCTCCCTCTCAAGCGTGAATTTTTCCTTCTTCACTGTTCATTTTCTTCAGGTCAAGAAAGGTAAGCAGCTCTCCCAATCCCATCTCACTCTCCATATCGAGCTCGACGTTTGAAGCTCCCCACTACCTCCACCTTGACCAAACGGTCGCAAAGGACAGCTATCGTGAAAGCTGCCGCCGACCGCCTTCTCCCTCCCGCCACGCCACGCAAAATCTTCACCAGCGACATTTTGAGCTTCGTCGTTTCACTTGACGGAATACTGACAATTCCTGCTTCAGGGTCAAAATGTTCTGCAAGCGTGTTGCCTTCGGCCTCTTGGCCGCCGCCGCCGCGGTTTCCGCCAGCGATGTCACCCAGTTGAAGAAGGACGACTTCAACGACTTCATCAAGACCAACGACCTGGTTCTTGCTGAGTGTGAGTAGCCCGCGATCCAAA